TCAACATCCACTAATATCCAATCTTTGGATATCTAACTGTAGCACTTCAACTCCTCACCCTGCGAAATGATTAATCCTGGATGAGCAGCTAAGAAAGTGGCGTTGATTTTGGCTCCTAGGGTGAACGGTACGTGCCATGGTGTCATACCGCGGATGGCGGAGCCGAAAAATCCGATAGCGGGCATTATCAACCAATTGGAACTCTTCTCTCACCCAAAAATTCCCTATGCAAATATCAGTTTCAACTATTTCAGCTTTAAAGAGTTAGCAAAAAATGCAGAACCATAGAGTTGTCAAAAAAAAACATGCAACACGCATCACATTATGAAAAACGTGCTATGTATTGAATGTATCCCTTCGAAATAATGGATACCTAACTGATGCATTGGTATGGGCTCCAGTTAAAAAGAGCGCCTACCAAAATTTTATATTGCTGAATGAGGTTCCAAAATTCAATAGATAAATCGATTTCCGCAGAACATAGCCAAAACCTGACCTATGCCATTTCTTCAAGATTGTAAATCCTTTTTCCACAAAAACTAGAAATAAAAATATCTATGATAATACCAAACTAGCAATAAACATCTACGAAATACGCAAACATGCCATATTAGCTGGAACGGGTTCCATATGAACTGAACTTGAAAAGAAAGTAAAACGATCTGCAGGTTGCAATGTTCTTTGGAAGAAGAAAAAAGGCGACGTCGCACTGCCCTCTCCATTCCCATTCGCAATCGTACATCCAGCTGAGTTTTCTGATTGTGAGCGCAGAACAGAATAAGTTACAAGACCAGCTGAAGCTCTGCTACTTTGATCCTCACAAACAACCATAGCACGACACGCAGTTAGCTGCTTCCTCAGAACTGAAGGCATGGCTGATCTGAGCAGCACACGATCCCACTATGCACAGACATAAAACGCTATTCGCACCGATAAGGTAGCGAAAGAGTTGAGGGCCAGATCTTTTTCACAAGCTTATGTAAACAAAGCCAAAAGAGGACCAAACCCAAACAGTCACAGAACAACATGCAGAAAAACAAAAAATAATCAATAGATTCACCAGAACAAAAGTGACTCGTTGGCATTGTTCCAAACAAAACGATATATACGCAAACTGCTCACCTATACATGAAATGTTGTTACTTTGGCCTTCCAAAACGGGTCGAGTGAATTCAGTGGATCATTGGGATCTAGTTGAGGGAGTGGGACGTCACCGCCACTACGGATATGCTCATGGAGTTGGCGTTTTTCCAAGCGTGCTTTATCTCCAGGACCCAGTTCGAATTTTGTCGGATCCAGGATATCTGTTAACGGTAGTACGCGCGGAGTCTGCAAACAAACCACTTGAAATTACTTTAGAATGAGATGCAGAAAGTGTTAACACAGCAAAACAGTAAAAAACAAGGCGATAAGGAAAGAAGTAGGCATCACAAATGCATAGACAGACAATGTATGTTCCTCCACTCTATTTTATCGCCCATTTCGGAGGGGTTCGATTTACACTAAAAAGCGCCACGACCAAATCCGAACCGAAAAATGCGAAAAGAGAAAACCAAGAGAAAAGAAAATGCAGTGAGGAGCATACCACTGATATCCTGGCTTGTTTTTATGAAAAATCTTCCTAGATACCCTAAGGATGAAAGTTATAGACATGAAGACTGGAGAAAAGAACTTCAGCTTTTTTTAAAATCTAAACTTACTTGTTGAGGAACTGATGATGCGGTAGTTACAGGAGTTTCAATCTGAATGAATTCATAAATAAGTAGAGACTCCAAGCTATAAGCCATAAGTGAGAACTCACAGGTCGCTCAACTGATGGTGCAGTGAAAACTTGATGTTGAATTGGCATGACGGCCGCCGCAGGGCGAGGCATTTGAGCAGTCGCCTGAGACAGAGAATATTTTTATGCAACAATAGGCAGGCGAATTTACAGAGATAAACAGCTGCGGCGACATGACAAAAGCAAGAAGTCGCTAAATTAAAACCAGAACACCTGTGATGGCTGTGATGTAGGGATTTCTTGCCATTGGTTGGATTGGACAGGCGTGGCAGCAGTTGCCAATACTGGGTCTGAATTGACAGACTGGGTTTTCAGTGAAACCGGAGTGTCGGGTAAACGATGAATGGCCGACAGCGTTATTGACTCAGCTGACACTGACGATGAAGGCGCGGATGATCGCAATAAATCTGAAATGCCAAACATTGGAGAGTACGCTGCCAATTCATTCAACCATACAATCCGATCATGGGAATTATCGGCTGAATCGAACTGTTTGAGGTGGATATTTCCACAGCTATACTTGGAAGAGATTGCTATGGAAAAAAGTGGTTCCAAAAGAATGTTTTACAACCGAAATGCACAGGAGCAAAAAAAGTCAAGAGAACATTTTCGGATCTAGTTTTCAACTAGACCTTCCACCTTTCACCTAATGTAATGACAAAGGCGAAAAAAGAAAAATTGCGACAAATCAAGCATAAACTCTATAACACTAGGAACAATATACCTCCAGTACGAAATGAAGATGCAAGATGGTCGCAATTAACCATACCAACCGACAAAACATTCAACAAAG